ACTTTTCCCTATTTTTCTTTCTGGGATTGATTTTAAATGATGGGTTGAGTTGCAGGTGGTAAAAAAGGTAAGCTCAAAAATGATGATCAGAAGACTCCGACCTCACGCAATTCAGTTTTTGATGTGCCAGAGAGAGATGTTAAGTTTATTTGACTGGTGATTCTTATTTTGATCTTCTGAATTCTTACTTGATTTTAGGTTTTTGTTAGATTTTGTTGGATTTGAAGGGTTGACTCTGTTGTTTATATATTGATTCAATTTCTCAGCATAGAATGTATTAGTTGTTAACTGATTGCTTTAATAGGTGTTAAATTAGGAAGGGTAGAATAAACTGTAGAAATGATTAATTATTGTTGGAAGAGCTCCCTGTAATTGATACATTTGAGCTATGATCACAATGTTCAACCAATGAATTTTACCTTATTTGAATTGGGGCATCGCAGTATAACTCCTGCTTTGTAGCTTCATCTTATTTTCTACTTGTTTTATCTACAGTAACTGAAAACACTATTGACTTTAATGTTTCATGGAGTCCTAGTATTTTGATTAATTCTGTAATTTTGAATAGATTGATTCCTAAAAAATCTGAACTTTTATCCTTTTCCCCTCCTTCCCCTTTTCCGTCTGATTATGCTTTTGATGTGCTTAACATAGTTTACTTTGGAATAGCCAGAAAAATAGAACGCATAGTTCTGAAAAAAGGGAGCCCAGTGCACTAAGCTCCAGCTATATACGGGGTCCGCGGAAGGGCTAGACCACAAGGGTCTATTGTACGCAGCCTTACCCTGCATTTCTTCAAGAGATTGTTTGTACGGCTCAAACCCGTGACCTCCTCGTCACGCGACAGCAAGTTTATCAGTTACGCCAAGGTTCCCTTCGGAACTCATAGTTCTGAATTGACCAAAAAAAGGAGTTGTGATGGGAGTGAAAGAATTGAATGACGCTTCTGTATTATTAGACAGTTGATTTGTTGTCCTGTTTCTAAGCTAAATCACTTGAGATTATCATGGTTTAAATAGGTTCTACTTTCTTTTCTATTTGATTTGTTGTTCTGTTTCTAAGCTAAATCAGTTGAGATTATCATCGTTTAGAAATGACTTTCTTTAATTTATAAAACATATAGTTACCTTTGGTAAACATGCTCACGTGAGATTATCATGGTTTAAATCTCACGGGTTGTTGCCAGATTGCATCACCAAAAGGCTAAAAATTCCAGTATTTCCATTTCTATTTGGAATTAAATAAACAACAACAAAGAAACCAATTGAATCTTGAAACATAGAGGGATTTGAAGATTGACCAACTACACATAGTCAATGGAGTGGTTTTCCATTCACAATGGTTTTCTCTTGGGGAAACTATGTCAATGGGAGGAATCAAGAAGGAAGTGGCGACATAAATAGGTTCTACTTTCTTTTCTATTTACTTTTAATTAATTTTCTTTCCTACGTTGTTTATGAAATTCAGTTTTTACAAATTTTAAAGTGAATGCTAATTATGTGATGATCTTAAATTAGTTTATTTGCATGTCGGAATAACATCAGTTTAAAAGTTAACTTTTTATTTTTCTATCAAATAAAATCAGTTTGTTGGTATATAATTTGATAGTATGCATAAAATAGCTTCCAACGAAGAATAACAGTTCAATTTACGAATTAATATAGAAATGACTAACTGAAAACTAACCCAATACAATCCTATAATGATCATTGATAATATAATACATCAAGATGATACCACAGTAATTGTGGATAAAAGTGAAATAACTTTGAACAATATGTTTATAAATAAACGGATAAAAGGAACACATATGCACAAGGAATATCATCTACAAGAAAGTATTAGCCGAAGAACACTTAATTACATGTTGTATCTCATAAACATGACTCGACAATTAAGTAAACGAATTATATGTACTAATTAAGTTTTGATTGCTAATTTCGTAGGTTCAACCGACATTAAATTATTTTGACCTCGGCAATTAAGCCACCACACGATGATCTACGTTGATCATTCACCAAAACTTGTACTTATTATTTCATGAATAATTATTTATTTAAAATTTAGTTTTAATAATATAATATTAATTTTCAAAATTGTGTAGTGCATAACTCGGTATATATATATATATACGGGGCTTTTTGTATAAAGATCCCAAAGATCCTCACAGCCCTTATCAGGTGGGCTTCAGTTTACATCTACCAGAATAGCCTTATTTAATCCTTCATTTGGCGTTGTAAGTTCTATTTGCTTTCTTTGGTAAGCAAGGAAACTTACACAAATGTCCCAAATAAATCTCAACTTACCAACCTCTAGCCATTAGTCATAAACTTACCAAAACTAGCCAATAAAAATTGAAAAACCAAATAATAGGGTTTTCTCTCTCAAAGAATCACATGCAAAAATCACCTTCCATATTTTTAAACGTGATTAGCAACATTAGATACAAGACGGAAAGGAAATTTCATGGACGGGGTAGCAAATAAGGTGATGAAATACAAAAATCTATACAATATTCCAAAAATCTAAACAAAAAAGGAACTTTTTCAATGGGTATAGTTGAAATTCATTGAAAATATATAGATAAGTCAATATACAAAATTTGAGGAAGATTGGAGGTGATTTGGACTGGTTTTGTATCAAAATTCGTAATTAAATCGAGTTCATAAAAGTCTTCTGCGACACACGTATCAAACATGTATCACGCATGTATCACACACACATGTATACATGGATATACATGTGATACACAATTGATACAAATATGATACATATGTGATACACAGTGTGATACACATATCATTTTTTTCATGTTCAGCTTTTATTTCGAATTTTCAATTTAAACCACCTCAAAACTTCACCAAATCATTCCAAAACTGAGATTCAAGCTCCTTAAGTTGTGCCCAATCTATTCTAATAACACCCACTCAAAACAAAGCAAAAATTTGATATTTTTTGCTACAAATAGCTAATTGGCTAATTTGGCTAATATTAGTAATATTTTATCAATTGGCCAATTTTTGTAATGATCTACTTATAAATGGACATAGCTGGTAATTTTCCCAATGTATTTGTACTAGGCCTAGCTAGTATATTACTCCTCCGGTCCAAAATAAGTGATTTTTTGGCCTTTTTTTTGTGGTCCAAAATAAGTGATTTTTTCAGATTTCAAGAATGAATTAATTATTTTTTTCCTACATTGCCCCTGGAGTAAATAGTGTTGGAGTATCTGTTAGAAGTATTTATGTGAAGAGATAGCAAAGGTTAATATGGTCAATTTCATTGCTAATTAATGCTAAAAGGTGAATTTCTTAATTTGTGTGAAAACAACTAAAAAATCACTTATTTTGGACCGGAGGGAGTATGTACTTCGTAATCTCTCTTGTTCTATTGATCCTTTGAAACATTGAATTTTCATTGTAATTGAGTTTTGTGAATTTTATGGTTAGTTGACTGTCGGCTAAGTTAATGTTAATATTATTATTAGTATCATATATATTCATTGGAAAAAGAAAAAAAAAAGAAGGTAAATACCCCTTCATAGCAAGTAGAAGGCAAGTCAATGGCGCAAGGGTAATCATGTTATCCTTAAGCCATAATTGGAATCAACGTATCTGATTCTATCCTTAGGTCTCTTTACTCTCTCTCCGTAAGTGGAATTTGTGCTTCACGTGACATAAGATAACTTGAATTAGGGGTGTTCATAGTTCGGTTTGGATCAGTTTTTCCCTAAAAAAAAACCAAATCAAGTAAGTCGGTTTTTCAAATATTAGAACCAAACCAAACCAATTAAGTCGGTTTTTTCTTGACGGTTTATGTCGGGTTTTGTCGGTTTTTTGGTTTTTTCGGTTATTTGTCGGTTTTTTTTCTTAAATATAAGACATACACTACCAAACACATATTTCGGCGACCACATTTTCAACGTAACACTATCAAATCAATTGCCCTTTGAGAAATCTATTATTTACCAAGATATATTGATGATAATTGAATCAAATAGTGATGAATAATTTAAGCACTCAACTAAAAATATATTATTTTTAACACGAAATGGATTCTTACACTTACCAAAAGAAAACTATCAATCAATATAGAATGTAAAGGTAAAAAACTATACTAAAAGTGTAAACTATTAACATTCACCATAAAAATTTTGAAACTTTATATATATATATATATATATATAGGTGTAATAATAAATTTGAAATAGCTACTCCTATAGTCGGTTTTTTTCGGTTTTTTTCTGATTAAAACCAAAATCAAACCAAATTTGATCGGTTTTTAAAATTCAAAACCAAAACCAAACCAAACCAAAAAGTATCGGTTTTTTGGGTCGGTTTGATTTGGTTTTCGGTTTGATTCGATTTTTCGGGTTTTTATGAACACCCCTAACTTAAATATTTATAAGGTTTAATAGGCAGACCTTTCCATTTTTTAATTATTCACAAACTCGGCTTAAAACATTGGAAAAAACCTAATTTTACATTGGATTCAAAGCATCTAATCTATGTTATCTACTCGTGGACGGTGGAGTCCAATATAAAGGGTTACAGCTAAATATGCGACGGGAGTATGTTACGTCCTCCATCTTTTTTATGTAATTCAATTTGACTGGTATAATGCAAAGAATTCTTAAAGTTTAAGGTATTAAATATTATTATAATATTTATATGATTATAAAATTATGTCATTTAAACAAAGAATTTAAAATTAATTCTTTTTTCAAATATAAATATATTACTTATTTTTACAATAATGCAATTTGCAATCCACCTGACATAAGACAATTTATTTTTTTGTATATATTCGTGGTTCAATGTAAAGACAAATACAGACGTGGACCAAGTTGGTTCCATGTTTCTACTAATCATAAAAAAACAGCAAAATAGAATATTAGTAATTGAAAGTTGTCCATCTCGTTGCGTGTGCTTGAGTCAGACAAACATAAACTGTAAGAGAACAAATTCACATCAAATTTACGTTTTCAAACTTGATTCTTTCTCATTTCCTGTTGGAGTTCACGTTTTATTTGCCAACTTAGATGCACAAAAACTTGTAATTTGTGAATTCCGCTCCTCTTTTCTCTTCCTTCTTTCGTGTCCAATTAACCTCTGTAACAGGGAATCTTGCTCCTTCTACTACTTTCTTTGATTTATTTGTTTCATGTTGTTTGCTTTGGTGATTTAGGGTTTTTTAGATGGATGATGACGAAGAGGGAGATTTTCTGTACAGAGTTGAAGAGATGATTGACTTTTGCAGTTACTGCTAACAAAGGATGATGAGAGACAAGAGGGATATAAGGCCTGTAATCTTGAAATTTGGGGTTGCTTTAGCACTCTCACTTGGTGGAATTATCTTTACTTTTTTTAGGAACAAAAGAATCAAGCCCTCCAATTCTTCTCCATCACCCAGTTCAGGTCAGTTCCACAACCTCCTAAACCTAAGCAAGTAAAAAAAAAGGACCTTCTGTTCCTTTGTGTCCTTCTTCTTCTTCCCTTTTTTT